GAAGTCCAAAAACAATATCGGGATCGGATCGGAAGTGCAAAAACCTGGATCGGGACATCTCTAGCAGGAATTATAAAAGGATAAAAAAAAAAAACAATATAAACATTTAAGATAAAAACAAATTATGTTAATATGCTCTATCCAAAATTCCTCAAGTGGAAAAATTTGAGTTTCGCCTGGTTTAATTTAGTAAAAAATCTTCTGTAAGGAATCTTTGCAGATTATATAACTTCACATGATGCTCGACGTTCCTCATTTTAGGGAAGAAAGTGCTTCTTCTAAGAGTTGTCATACAATGCAACAGATTATTTACAGATTAATTGTTTTGCAAAATAATCATTAGTTGCAGCTTCAATCTTTAAATGTTTGTGTTGGCTGTAGTCTTGATAAAACTCAACACTAGAATGGATTCTGTATCGTCCCTCTTCCAACAGACCCCTGCCTTATTTTTAAAAAATAAGATTTCAAATGATTTTTTTTCTTTTGTAAAAAGATGACTTTGGACTGAGCAACAGTCACGTTGTTTTTTCCTCCTTGACCAACTGTGTGGTTAAACATGATGAATAGAACAGTTGTAATCCGTGTCTTGGATGCTTCAGCTGTTATCCATCCTTTCTGATAACTGTTCTGCCACGTTTTTTTTCCCCTCTACTAAACTTTCTATCAGAACAATTGGACACAGCAGTGAATTGACCAATGACCTTTTTGTTGGAGAACTGTCGGGTCAGCACTTCATAAAACCAATTCTCTCAGAATCGGCATTTCTGAGAACCAGATTCTATTAGTCAGAATCAAAGGCTTCTGATCTTTTACTCTGAGGTGAACTTGTGGTTTTCACTTTTCAAATTGAACTACTGAAATGAATCAAGCTCGGAGTCGCATCTTACTTGCTGAGAGTGCATGGAGCACTGGTGGGAAAACGGAGCCGTCCGTCACGGTTCCTCTGGGCTCATTTACAAGAACTGAAATAGCACAGATGGCTAAGCAAAAATAAAGAGCACTTCATCACCCGGCTGAGCTTTTCTCTCTGACCTTAGAGCTATCAGATGGGAACTTAATGTCAGGTCAACACAAATTGTCTGATTTATTTTGTTTTGGGTTTGACTCATTTCTTACATGAAAAGTTCATCTGTTTTCTCATTTAAGAAAATCCCTTGTTAAATCAAACTGGGCTTTTATATACTGAGTCAGTCTACATCTTTATATCAGTTTGTGGAAACAAAGTTCATTATGTTTGGTTTTAAACTTCTTTTAGGAATCTGATGATTTAGGTTCCTCCACCTTTTCCCCCGTTTGTCTTCAGGACCACCGAGCAGCAGCAGCGTTTCCATGAGATCTGCAGTAACCTGGTGAAGACTGAGCGTCGGGTCGTCGGCTGGTGGAAGCGTCTCTGCTCTCTGAAAGAGGAGAAGCCTAAAGTGGTATGTTTTTGTTTTCTACTTCCATATGTAACCCCAAACTCACAGTTTTCACCCTGAGAGCTTTGTGCACTTCTGCAGCACAATGAGGATCTTTTTCTGGGTTTCAGATAAAAATATCAGCTGACTGGGCTCAGCTGCTCTACTTAACAGAGCTCTAACTGGGTTACACGCTGCAGGAACTGGGTTAATTAAAGGCCATGCTTTTTTAACCCTTCTAAATTCAACTATTGGCTTATATTTGATGAAATGTTACCTTTAGCACTATGGAGTATTCATTTGTTATAAAATATTGGTAGTTTTCCAACGTGCCTTCACTGTGACGCCACCTTTCCCTGTAAGGGAGGCACCCATTTAAAGCTGTCCCCCCTGGAGCGACTGCAGCATGTTATCACACAGCTTCTGGTGATCAGACCCTTTTTTCAGAAGGCTAAAAAGTCCTAAGCCTTTCTTTGCCGCAAAAAAAAAACAATTTTAACCACTGAAAAAGCTAAAAAGAAGGTTACGTCCACTGGTTTTCAGGGACAGGAACGAGCTGCTCCTCAGAGAGCAGAATCTCTCCCGAGGATCATTTAGACATCTATGAAATACAACTTTGAGATAATTTTGATGAAATATTAGAATTATAACCAAGTTATGGACTTGGTTATAATTTGGACTTAAGTCCAAAGTAAGTTTTTGCATGATGAGGGACCCTTAACTTTAACCTCTACCATCACTTTCAGACTATTGTTGAACCTTTTTGATGGGTTTCCTGGATGGGGCCTCCTTTTACAGCTTCTTTTTCTATGTCTGCTTCTGTCTCCTTGAACCCCAGTGGGCCTCAGCAGATGGCCGCTCACACTGAGCCTGGTTCTGCTGGAGGTTTCTTCCTGTTAAAAGGGAGTTTTTCCTCTCCACTTTCGCTACAAGCATGATTGGTGTGAGGGATTGCATTCGAGTCAATGAGGAAAACTGGTTTTCCTTGGATAGAAAACTTTTGAGTCAATTTGACTGGATGATTTGGTGAACTGTAAAGTGCCTTGAGATTGCGTGTAAATTGGCGCTACAGAAATAAACATAATTGGATTTAAAGCTGAATTAATTTGATTGGTTTTAGTGTAATGTGTCCTTTCTGCTCCCTGCAGTACTTTGCCTCAGTGATCAGCGGCCTGCTGGCAGTGGCCTGGATCGGACAGCAGGTCCACAACCTGCTCCTCACCTACCTAATCGGTAAGGCTGTTTCTGTCCCCATTCCGTCAGTCTACACTCTTCTCAAACTTTGAAGGCTTCTTGATCAATTTTTTAATTTCCGGTCTGAGATGTGACTTTCATGCCTTTTAAAAAATCTGACTGACTTTGGAGGACCTAAAGCTGACCAATAAATCTGTATCTGAAACTTGATCAATGTCATTATATAAAATTCGTCAGCTAAAACTTCACATAATTCCAACAAATTCCATCCAGAAATAAATTTTATTTGAAGGCAGAGGAAAGGATTTAGCCCCTCAACCTCCACAGTTAAGCTTAGCGAGGTAGGTGGCAGAGCTAAGGGTTACATTTAAATTAGGTTAGGCTTATATTTAAATATCTGCGTTTATCCGCTGCTCTTTATTTCAAACAGGAAACTAAAACACTAATCAATAATGATCAATATCGACTGATGTAAAAAGCTTATTTTGTCAGGCTTTTCTCAGTGTTTTCTGTTACTTTGTAGAAAATAATCGTTCCTCCATCTTATTACCTGCCAGGCTTCTGTGACTCAGAACTGCAGCTTAAACCGCTATGAATCAACATGCTTTCCTGAAAGGCGAACACGCCTTTCAGGAAAGCATGGCATCTCTGAGGGTGCAGCCATCAGCTCCATAAGTTCAGGCATGTTGGTTTTTGCAGTGGTTCTCCTGTTATATTGGATAGACTCCCAGACTCCCGCCCCTCCAACGACTCCCTTTCCCCTCTTGGATGTCAGTTTACTGCTACGTTCTGAACGGAAACGCTCTTTCAGATTTTCTAATACATGAGTGCAGCAGTTAGGTGTTTATTTTGAAATCTGGTTCTGACTGCAGTGCAGCGGTCGGCTGAGCATCTGAATGTGGAAATTCACTTTCATGAAACATGAATGACTAGAGTTGTTTCTGTCATTAAGTTAGTGGGTTTCATCATAAAACAAATCCTAAATGTGATTTAAAAAAAAAAAGGTTGTACTTGGAATTATTTATAACTCTGGAAATAAAATGATCTGCAGTGAGTCCAGATGTAGGAGGAAAGAAGGCAGGTATGTGTTAAAATGGAAAGAAAGATGTAGAAGGATCAGATTCCGATGCAATGGAAACCAGTTCTCTCACAGATGACTACATTAACACCACGCTGGTGCAGCACATCAAAGATGAGGCACTCCTCATGAGTCCAGAGGTGTTTTAATCTTGTTGGTCGTCTGCCTTCTTTTGGGTGATCTAATATAACAGGTGTTACTTCAAGTTGACTGGTCATTTACTTTGGAAATCCGCCACCCAAACATGGTTGGATGCACCCCTCCTGCAGCTGGTCAGCAGACTGGACATCAAAATACAGAATATGAAAAAAAAACAATGACTGAGAGAAAATCTCAGTGTCAGTCCAGGTTTCAATGAATTTTTCATGCCCAAACATGATCACCTGGTGAGAAGACCTCCAAAATGTTATACCTCTAAAGGAGGAGCCTACATGTTGGTTAAATGACATTCAGTCCAATGTCATTTAAGTCAATCTGTGTATTTATGCCACTTTTCCTACAGTTAAGATTATAATCCTATTAAGGACGCCCATACAGTCAGAATTATACATGGCCGTTGTCACAGAACTGATTTTCCTTGGTCATCCTGCTATAGACAGAAATAAACTAGATCTTTTTGTTAGACCTACTAAGATACTCTGTTTAATTTCAACGATCTTTTACCATTTTATAAACTTGCAACTTTTTAATAAAAGTAACTTCATAGTTTCTGTTACATACTTAAGGTCAGGTCCATCCAACTAACCTGTAATCCATTTACATGGCATTAACAAATTCGACCAAATAACATTTCCAGGCAGTCCTGTCCCATATTTTACACTTCGGTGCACCATTCAGAGTTCAAACTGTATATTTTTGTTGTTCACTTTTTTATTATTTAAAACACAGCTTTAGTAACATAGGTGCTCTGTATCTGATGGAGTATTAGGGCCAGCCTTCAGATA